CATTCACAAAGCCAGTTATCTCATCATAGAAGGTAATTAGGTTAGTCAGGCATGACTTGCCCTTGGTGAATCCATGCTGACTGTTCCAGATCACTTTCCTCCACTCTAAGTGCGGATGATACCAAGCTTGGAGGGGTTGCAAGCACTATAGAGGACAGAATTAGAATTCAAAATTACCTTGATAAACTGAAGAATCAAACTGAAATCAAGAAGATGAAATTCAGTAAAGACAAATGCAAAGCATTTCATTTTTGAATGAAAAATCAAATGTCCAAATACAAAATGGGGAATAACTGGCTACGTGTTAGTACTGCAGAAAAGCATCTGAGTGTTCTAGTGGATCACAAATTGAAAGTGAGTCATCAGTGTGGTGCTGTTATGGAAAAGACAAATGTCATTCTGGGATGTATTTAACAGGAATGTTGTATGTAGCACATGGGCTGTGATTGTTATACTCTACTTAGGGCTGGTGAGGCCTCAGCTGGAGTTCTGGGCACCACACTTAATGAAAGATGTAGACAAATTGCAGAGGTCGAAAGGAGAGCAACAAAAATTATAAAACATGACCTATGAAGAAAGGCGAAAGACTCTGGCATGTCTCTTCTAAAGAACAGAAGGCTGGAGAGAGGGAGGCCTGATAATTCTTCAAATATGTAAATGGTTATCATAAAGTGGACAGTGATCAGTTGTTCTTCCTGTTCAAGGAATAATCCACTTTGTTTGCAGCAAGGGAGACTTAGGTTAGATATTAGGAAAAACTTCCTAACTATAAGGATAGTTGAACACTGGAACAGGTTTCCTAGGAAGGTGCGGAATCCTCATCCTCTGGAAAGGACAGGTCAGACAAACATCTGTCAAGGATGGTCTGGATATACTTATTCCTGCCTCAGCACAGGGGGCAGGGCTACATGGCTTCTTGAGATCCCTTCCAGCCCTACATTTCTATGATTCTAAAATCTGAGTTTTTAATATTTAGACTATTGCTTTTGAACTGTAAATTAGGTACAGTGGGCCCTATCCTGCAAACAGTGATTTGTGTGCTTACATTTAAGCATGTGTATAGTTCCATTGCAGTCAACGGGACGCCCTGTGCGAATAAAGGTAAGCACAGGGGGCTATAGAAGAAGCCTTAAGCTCCCTGGGTCAGGGACCGTGGTGTGTGAAGAGCAAAAGACAATAATTTCTGGGTTACTCTGCCTACGACTATGGGGTCCTGATCTGTATTTGGAACCCTAGTCTTATTCCAATACATGTAAACACATAAGCAGTAAATGTAATTAAGGGTCAGTAGAAAACCTCAAAATTCTGCTCTTACTTACACCCTTGCCATACTGTGTGATGAATGGTGTTGTGTTTGCATTAATGAAATACAGAACTGGGGCCTATATTACTCCTATGTTAAGCTATGGTTGTGTGTACTTTGGAGCTGCGTATTAAAGAACAACAAAAGTAATTCAGAAGTGAAACAGCAAGTAAGAGGCAGCTACTCCTTCAATATTTTCTCAGCATAAATATATCTCGTGGGTAGCTTTTATTGCTTCTTGTCTCCTTACAGAACACTTCTATTTTTAAGAAAAGCCCATCCTACTATTTTTAGTTTTGTGCTAATGGACTGGATGTTCCTTTGAGATTTTAATGCTTCTTGTCTTGTGACAAATGCTGGAGTGATTTGTATTCTGGAATCTAAAAAGACAGGTCTCCAGACAGTTCCCAGGGAGCCTCAACACCTTGTCCCAGCACACGTTCGCCATTTAAATTTGTTTTTGACAACTCTGCTCACACCAAGAGCAAGACACACACTGTCAATCTACAGTGTCCTATTTTAGATTACGGAAAATAACGAACAAAAATAAAGTCTTCATGAGAGAACATCTGTCTCCCACACAGCAGGCTTTAGTGACTGTGAGAATAAAATGATAGCTGTTGTTACAGAAAGTTTTTATAAATGCAAAGGTGCAGGCTATAAAAAATAAAAGCATCAGGCCAAGAACTTCAAAAGTGGCTAGTGATTGGCAGTGACATATTTGAGGCAACTGAATGGGGTTGAGGAGCCACCCTCCGATAAACAGGCCCATTAAAGGTGTGTCAAGTTGGGCACTCAAAAAATTAAGGCACCCAAAATCAGTACCCATTTTTGAATAAGTTGATGTGACTGGGATCCCAGTGGAGCCACGCTAAGTTTGCTTAATTACTGCAAACTGCAAAGAATGGGGCAGACAATCCCCAAAACTGGTGGTTATTCTGATAATTGGATTCACCAAGCCAGCAACAAAACAGTGTCCACAATTCGTTACTGGTTACCAGGAAGCCCAAAACACAGTTCCCTTAAAGCAACCAGCCTTGGCCTTCCTCCCAAACAGCCAAGTCAAATATGATGAGGATTACTGAAAATCTTGTTCATCATATAAAAAGTTCTACCAATCCCAAAGATCAGACACATTACCTCCCAGGTCAATGAATATTTCAGATCTTACCCAAATACAAACTTACAGCCAATTCTTATTAACTAAAATAAAATGTATTAAAAAAAGGAAAGAGAGAGAGTATTGGTTAAAAGTTCATTATACATATAGGTATAAATAGAGTTCTTAGGTCAGTTTCATAGTAGAAATGGTGAGCTTAAGTGTTGCAAATAGTCCTTTTAGAATTAGTCTATGGGTTACAGTCCAATGTTCAACACGAGGGCGATCCAAAATGAAATTGGAGACCTCAATCTTGTGACTCAAACTTCCCCTGGTGAAGCATAAGCAGATTTGAGATTAAAGGATTTGGTCCCAAAAGCCCTTTATACATTTTCCAGGCAGCCTCTTGACCACATGCAGTCCTTGGGCGAACAACAGTGTCTTTGAAGTAACCTCCTATTTTCTAAACATCACCGGCAATTAGCTAGATGGATTAATATAAGGTAATTGCCTATCACCCACCATTTGCAGGTGATTTGCTATATACTTCAAAGAGAAATCATGACAGTAATATCACTACATTCACAGTTAATTTAAATGTTAATATCTCCTTTTGATTTCTGAATTAACCGTGATAGACAGGAACTGTTTGGTTACATTCTAACAGTATATATGTAAACACACTAAAACTCAAACATTATCTACTAATATGTCTCTAAAGGTTGAATCTGGGTTAATTAGTATGCAAGTTGCTTAACCCTTTCTGGCCCTGTGTCACACTTGGCCATTGAAGTTTGTTACACACACCAGATCTGTATTTCTCTAACCAGGAAGATGGGTGAGTGGCCTGATCTAAAGCCAACAACATTGTCTTTTCATGACCTGAAAGTCAGTGAATGCACATGTACTAAGTGATGGTCAATGGGGAAGAATATCACTTCCACGGTACACAGGAGCTCCACCAGAACTGACTGGCTGGGTAATTCCTGAATTTCCACCAATAGCTGGGGGCAATATTGACTCAACACAACAGGAGACACTTGCACTGCAGGATATAACCATTGGATCACCTTGAGCACTTATTTTATAGAAACAATGTAGGGTATAGCTGGAGGAATGGGCCTGAATTAAAATTCTACCCTGTGCCATGCTGTTGGCTAGTGTGAGACTTAAGATCTAAGTGTGTTTCTGAGGGAGATGAGCTGTACTGTTTACTTCTTTCTCTGGAGGAGGCAGTTATAGGGCCTTTTTTGCTTTCATAGGCTTCCAGCATTGTAACATGGGCCCTGCTTCTTGGGTTCTCCCATGTTTTGTATCATCTTCCTTAGCAGTAGCAGCAATACCAAAATCAGTACTTCTGGGACTGAAGTTGTGAGAGACAACTTACTGACAAAGTGACTTCCCACACAATGGCACTGTGCCACAGCTACAATATTTTTGGGGAATAAAATTAAATCCTAGTCATCTTCAGGCCTTGGCATTTCAGAGTATTGGCAGGAATTGTGATGGTGCTAGCTATGGGTGGGGGTGGATAAGGGAGAAAATCACCACTCGGGGCCTGATCATGTGATTTCAGTGAGAGTTTTGAGTGTGCAGCAGTTGGGATTGGTCCTGTGTGGTATAATGTCCTTGTAACATTGAGCGATAAAGGCCTGTTATATGATCTTAAGTAATTTTAGGACCAAGTTCACTTGGCTGTGCTGACTGTATCTGCTGAAAGTTCACTTTGAAATATCCTTATACTGTTCATCCAGTACTTCTGCACAGCCATGCAGAAGATGCAAGCTTCACTCCCAATCTCTCTCTGCTCCAACAAGGACTGGGGATGCTATGGTGGCAGCACACTCAGGCCATTGAAGAGCCTCTCCTGTTGTGTAAATATCCCATTGGGCATAGGTCATATTTTATTCTATTTTAGGGTTTTATACTGCCACCCATCACCATAGCATTTTGGTGCCTTGCCCGTGAAATCAATAGCAATAGCAGAATCTCATAGTAGGAGTCATGGAATCTATGGCATTTCTTCCTTTTGGTGTCCAAACTCTACTTGGGCTGGGGTTGTGGGTTTTTTTGGGGGGGGATTTTGGGGTTCGTATAAATTCATGACATTCACATAAATAATTTTTAAAATATACTAACGCTTATCTGAATCTTCTGGACAGTAAATTCCAGTGGTTGTAATTATGGAGGTGGTATCATCCAGTAGCCAGGATGTTTATACTGGGAGTCAGGAAATCTGGGTTCTAATCCCAGCTCTGCTACTAACCTGTTGTGTGACCTTGGGCAAGTCATTTCACCTGTGCTTCAGTCTTCCCTTTCTTCTGTCTTCCCCATTTAGATTGTAAGTTATTTGGGGGCAGGGACCGTATCTCATTATATTTGTACATCACCTACTATAATGGGGCCCCAGTCACTGTTGGGAGTGGATGAGAGAAAAAGAGAATGAACCATACATAACAGATGTTAGTCACATTGCTTAATGCGCTACTGGAACATGCTCAGATATGAGGGTGATGAGGGCAGGCTGAGAATCTACACCGAATAATATAGAATAGGTGTTAGTGCAATATAAATAATAATATACTAATGTTTTTGTAGGGCCTGGTGTATGCAGTCTTTGAAGACACACTTAGCATGACCCTGGTTTCTGATGGAGCGGAGTGTATTGTGATATCAAAGGAGTTCTTCAAAAGGCACATGGATGAGGACTATCTCCATAAATTATGCACAGTCGTAAGTCTTGTTAGTCTAGAGTTCTAGCGTTAAGACCATAGCGATTATCTAGAAATGTTAGAGTTGCCTGAGGTGACTCGAATGCTTCCAAAAATGGGTGTGTTGCTGAACCGTGCTCATTGCATATGGTTGGTTATAAAGTTTTACCCTTTTGTGTCATGCAATTTCCTTGTTAGTGCCACAATACAATCAAACAACACACGCAGAAACAGTATAAGAGCTTAGAATAACTGATTTGCTGGGCAGGCACATTCCCAATTGTACAGATTTCCCGAGACGGTAACATACTTCTGGGCAGGGCGGGCTCTAACGTTTTTGCCGCCCCAGGCAAAAAAGCAAAAAAGAAGAGGGCCGCCCCCACGCGAGCGCTGCGCTGCCGTACCCCCCCCCACGAGTGCCGCGCAGCCAA